AGAAAGCAGGAAAAGACCTCTCTGACCTCAGCCGTAGCAATCTCTTACTCGACACATCTCCAAAGGCAAGGGAATTAAAAGCAAAAGTGAATTACTGGGACCTTATGAAGATAAAAAGCTTCTGCACAGCAAAGGAAACAACCAACAAAACTAAAAGGCAACCAACGGAATGGGAAAAGATATTTGCAAATGACATATCGGACAAAGGGCTAGTATCCAAAATCTATAAAGAGCTCACCAAACTCCACACCCGAAAAGCAAATAACCCAGTGAAGAAATGGGCAGAAAACATGAATAGACATTTCTCTAAAGAAGACATCCGGATGGCCAACAGGCACATGAAAAGATGTTCAGCGTCGCTCCTCATCAGGGAAATACAAATCAAAACCACACTCAGATATCACCTCACGCCAGTCAGAGTGGCCAAAATGAACAAATCAGGAGACTATAGATGCTGGAGAGGATGTGGAGAAACGGGAACCCTCTTGCACTGTTGGTGGGAATGCAAATTGGTGCAGCCGCTCTGGAAAGCAGTGTGGAGGTTCCTCAGAAAATTAAAAATAGACCTACCCTATGACCCAGCAATAGCACTGCTAGGAATTTATCCAAGGGACACAGGAGTACTGATGCATAGGGGCACTTGTACCCCAATGTTCATAGCAGCACTCTCAACAATAGCCAAATTATGGAAAGAGCCTAAATGTCCATCAACTGATGAATGGATAAAGAAATTGTGGTTTATATACACTATGGAATACTACGTGGCAATGAGAAAAAATGAAATATGGCCTTTTGTAGCAACGTGGATGGAACTGGAGAGTGTGATGCTAAGTGAAATAAGCCATACAGAGAAAGACAGATACCATATGGTTTCACTCTTATGTGGATCCTGAGAAACTCAACAGGAACCCATGGGGGAGGGGAAGGAAAAAAAAAAAAAAAAGAGGTTAGAGTGGGAGAGAGCCAAAGCATAAGAGACTGTTGAGAACTGAGAGCAAACTGAGGGTTGATGGGGGGTGGGAGGGAGGAGAGGGTGGGTGATGGGTATTGAGGAGGGCACCTTTTGGGATGAGCACTGGGTGTTGTATGGAAACCAATTTGACAATAAATTTCATATATAAATAAAAAAAATAAAATAAAATATTGAATAGTATAAAAAAAAAATTCACAAACTGAATGCAGAAAAATAACATTAGCAGCACCCCACAGGCTTCCTTGTGCCCCCTTCTCGGTACTTCCCACCACCTTACCCTCTGAGTAAACACTAGTCTGACCTCTGGCAGTGTAGTTTTGACTGTTTTTTGTACTTTATATAGAATCATTAGGTAGATCTTCTTCTGTGTCTGGCTTCACTGGCTCAACATCTGTTTGTGAGATTCATCTATATTGTTGTATGTAGTTGGTGCAGAAGAATTAACATAGTAGGCCTGAACTTCCATCTTTGAAAAGGCCTGCTTGCAAGGTTGGCCATTGGCCGGTGTCCAGAAACTCAGATTTTACGAGGGTTCCCACCATTTATTGATGACAGTGGCTCACTAAACTAAACAAAGACTATGTTTTATGCTAAGCATCTGCTTTTCTTCTGGGAGTCTGGAATTTGAGTACATGACAGGCAGATGGAGCTACAACACTTCACATGTACTGTCACAACTCATTACCAGGGAAAATAAGTACATTGAGGAGATGACTCTGGAAGCTTGAATCTCGTTTCCTCCAGACATTGCCCTATAAGCCTTCTCCCTTTGCTGTTTTTGCTTTATACCCTTTTGCCATAAAAACCATAGCCACGAGTACAACTATATGCTGAGGCCTGTGAGGACTCCTAGTGAATCAATGAATCCGAAGGTGGTCTTTGGAACCCCTACTCAACATAAGTTGTGATGTGTTTTGACTGTTGCTTGGTATTTGCTATTTTATAATCAAATGCAAAAAATTACTTTCCTAAATCACATTATCTTTCTCACATAATGCAAAATACACTTAGATTATTTTAAGTCAGAATTTACAGAAGAGGGCACTCTTTCTTTTTTTTTCTTTTTTCTTTTTTTTCTTTTTTATGTTTTTATTTTTGATACAGAGAGAAAGCACAAGCTGGGGAGGGACAGAAAGAGAGGAAGACAGGAACCAAAGCAGGCACTGCGCTGATAGCAGATATCTTGATGTGGAGCTTGAACTCAAGAGCTGTGAGATCATGACCTGAGCAGAAGTTGGATGCTTAGCTGACTGAGCCACCCAGGTGCCCTGAGGGCACTCTTAAATCAGGAACCCTGTCCAAGAAATGAATAGGAAAGCAGACCACACCCATGTTAACTATCTCAAAATACCAGAAGATATGAATCAAAGTATTCTGTTGATGAAAATAGGTCCCTAAAAATATCAACCATAAAGCTGAAGAAAACAAATACCACATTTCATATGAAATTATATATCCTGATATAAGCATTTGGGAATATTTAAAAACATGCTAGATCATATATATGAGAACTAAAAACAGAAATGACCAAAAGCTGGATTATCTTAGGCATTATCATCATCCTATTTTTCCTCAATATTATTCATTGTTTCCCTTTTTGCCAGTTGTAACCTCAACCCTGCCACCCAAGATATGAAGAAACTATCAAGCCAAAAATTGAAATTTAGGGACACAAACTTTCAGAGGCTTACCCAATCACTTCATAGGGAATTTTAGATCTGATTAATTTTATAAATTTCCCTAACTCCAAAATTCCTTTCCCTAGGCACTCTCCCCTATAAGCCAAAAGCTTTCCTGCTTAACTCCAGCTTCTGTTTCCTTCATTGCTCTAACTCACTTTCAGTACTTAATTCCCAATCTTGCCTGCCTATCCATTTCTGACACTCCCTATTAAACAGTAACCAACTAATCCCAGTATTTTTCCATCATACTCCATTAAACACCAGTTCTATGGTAAACAAAATGACTTGTCATTACTCGGTAACTCAAATTTTCTCTCAATTTAATAAATATTTTTGTTTCTGGCACTGCATTAAGTGCTGGGGATATAATAAAGAATAAGATATAATAACCAGCCTTCTGGGAAAGGCAGACAATACCTATGACAACTACAGTGATAGAGGTATACAGAGAGATAATTGTATAATAATGTTTGAACACATTACCTTTTTGCTCAAATGTTTACCACATCTTGGAAGTACAAATACCTAAGTACACCTGAAACTAATATATCACACTGTGTGTTAACTATACTAGAATTAAAATAAAAAACAAACACAACAACAAAAAGCAAACACCTAAATCAGACAGCCATTTAAAGTCTACCTGTTCTAGTCTCAATTTATCTCTCTTCCATTACTCCCCTACTGATTTACAGTATCTCTCAGTCAAACTGGATTATTCATTCTCTGCTGATTGACTCTAAATTGGTTCCCAATTATCTCCTCATTCTGCTGCTCAGGCCTTTGTGTAATTCCCTATTTTTGAGTGTGGGCAGGACCTTGCTGGTCCTGACTTGCAAAGGTAATAGGACGTCATTTTCTTGATTACAATATAAGATGCTGTAACTTCCATCTTTCTAGCAGACTCTCTCTCCCACTTTGATGAAACAAGTTGCCATGTTGGAAGACCCATGAAGCAAAGAGAGCTGACACAGCTAGAAACTGAGGCCCCTGGTCAAACAACCTAAAAGGAACTGAATCCTGACAACCATGTAAGTAAGCTTAGAAGCAGATCTGTCCTTCCCCCCATTTGAGCCTTCAGATGAGGCCCCAGCCTTTGACTGCAGCACTGTGAGAAACTCTGAACAGAGAATCCATGCCATGGCTTGGCTGACCCACAGAAACTATGAAAACCATCTAGTTTGTGGTGATTTGTTATGTAGCAATAAATAAGAAATACACACCCCAGACACATCACATTCATTTTTAATTTGTTCATGTCAACTTTCCAGCCCCAAATTTGAATTAGCCCAAAATCCTACATAGCTTTCAATGTTCTAGTCATTTACTATCTCCCAATGAGGCCTTCAATAATCCATCCTTCCAACTCACATACTCCTTACTTTGAACCCACAACTTTCTTTATTGAACTCTGTGACATATTTTTCCTTGTTTTAGCAACATTTAAATGTAATATATTTATTTAATTCCAAGAAAACAATAAACTGAACAAATTGAATAAAACACAAAATACTCCTACCTGATTGAGATTAAGATTGTTTTCAATACTCAGGGGAATCAAATGAGGCAATACTTTTCCAGCAAGCTGCTCTTTGGTGATTCCCAACTTCTTATGTGTAAAGGTACATTTATAAATACCTGATAGAAAACAATGAGACAAATTTTATAATGCAATACCACAAATTCATAGATACTAGGAAAATATTGTATCTATATGAAATCTCTTGATAATCAGTTTAATTACAAATTTTTTCTTATCAGTGCCTAGAATGAGGATGCTCTTAAATATGGATAAGAATGATTTCAGCTTTATCATCAGTTTAAACCATGACATATTTAACCTGTACTTGCTTGGCTTAAGAGCACATTTAATATTAGTATAATATTAAAAGCCTTACTATACAGTACAACAGTAAGGTTACAGAAGGATCCTCTCTCCTGAAAACACCTAAATATGTATTTGAGACTTCTCACCCAAACTCGAGACATCTATTTCACAAGTATGTGAGTATAGGTTACACCTTTATTCACTTCTTTAACCAGATTTAACATGTTTAAAACTTTAATAATTTAATTCAACTCCACACAATCCTTTCCTAGTGTCTCACCTATTTACTTCCAGAGCCTGCGTATTACAACTATTCCACAAAGCCTTCAGTTGGTAAACTGAGCACATTTGTTTCTCATTCTCTGAATGCTTGTGTTATAAGTGTTTTGTATATAATCCATAGCTTTAGAACACACCATATGTTATTATTTTCACGTTAATGTAAATTTCACTTATATACTCAAAGAGTAACTTTACTGAGCACCTATTAAATGCTTATTTGCTAGGAACTATGCTCATTACTTCTCCCTGCCCATTTTCTCACTGAATTCTCATAAAACTCCTCTAATGATGTATTTTTACCCTCATCTGACAGATGAAATTTTTCTAAGTCATTCCAGGAACTGACACAGCCAGGACAGAAGCTAGGACTCTTTCCACTATGCTAAACTCTTTTTCAGGAAGACTAATTTATTTGAGCCCAAAAGTCTCATACCATATACCATGTCTACAAAGGTCTACAATAAATTACTTGCTGACCATTCCTACAAATATTTACTGAGGGCTTTCTATAGACCAGGCACCTTAGTACTTTAGTAAGTGTTAAAAATACACGGCTGAGTAATTTCATTTTTCTTTAAAATTAATAAACTTTAACTTCAGTAAAAACTAAACCTGCTAATGTTTTTGTGATACTACAAGTATATCTGTTTCCATTAGTATAGCAGACCCCAGCATTTCCAGATTGGACTATCAAAACTGTAACTATTTACAAACAATTTCAGTTTCTTGACAGAGTAATTTGTAATTATGCTAATAGAACAGAATGTGCTGTAAAGCTAATATGCTTCATCAACACATCACTTAGCAGTGAAACATACTGGTTAAGATTTAAACATATATAAATTAAAAACCAGCTCTACCACTTTTCAGTTGTGTTATCTTGAATAACTTACTTCAACCCTGAGCCTCAATTTCCGTACTGTAAAACAGAAATAACAGTAGCTATCTCATTGGAATTTGGAGAGGACAAGAGATAACACAAAGAAAATACTCAACACAGTGCCTCTTACAAATTGGGTACCAAATAACTATCAAATTTTACTATTAAGACTGGTATCAGCATGTCATGTAGCTTTGTTTGCCTCTCTTATTTGGCATCATTTTATAGGGAAAACTACATGCTATCATGGTATTTGTGAAGCTAGGATTCCCAAATGTCTAATTTGCTAAAATTAACACAAAGAAAGTTATGTCATGGTATTTATCCCATCATTCTTCAATTACTGAATGCTATATACTTGAAAAAAGGATACAAAGGTTTTATAGTTTGGAAAATTCATTTGCGTGACTATAAAACAATAAAGTAGCATCAAATAACATTAAGTTTTCAGCTACCTAAAATTCCCATGAGGACTGCGGGTTCCTTGGATGGAATCTGTTGTAAGAAGGGCAGGATATCATCAAGAACAAACCACTTATCCAAGTATTCCAAAATCTTTCCTAAGCACACTAATGAATTTACACGAACCTATTAAGAGAGGTAAATTGCATTAGTCACTTAAAGTCTTGCAATCTAGAACAAAATGTTTAAGTATAAATTTAATCTTCATGTAGATATGTTAAAATCTCAAGAATAAAAGTAGGACGAGGTTTAAAAGCTCTCATCCTTTATTAACATAGGAAATCCATGTATTTACTAACTCCCCTAGACTTGTTTCAGGAAGAATTTATGATTGCTTTACCAGGACACTAGTTAGGTAGAGGTAAGGAATGACTTCAATTTTGTATCCTTTTAAATGAAGTGATTAGGATTTGAGAAGCTTTACTATATATGTGTTTATTAACAATATTTTTGGGGGGACATCTGAATTATAAAAAGGACTACATTCTCCTACCAAGTGATCAAGTTTACTAGGCTTCCAGTACTTTTCTCTAACTCAGGTTTAATTCATTCTTAAATATTTCAACATGTGAAAATTATCTATACTTTACCCTACCTGAAGTTTTCTATTTCTAAATATATCTTTAATACAGACATTAAAACCTAATACTTAGGAACTCTTTCACCAAAATTCTATCTATATTTGCTTGACTATTTTGATAAATGTTTCACACCCTATTTTTTTGGCTTGAATTTATTAAGATAATTACTTCAAGGAGAAAAAAAGAGACAAACCAAAAAAAAAACAAAAACAAAAACAAAAACTGGTGGTTGCCAGAAGAGAGATGGGTAGAGAATTGAGTGAAATAAAGAGGATTAAGAATATACTTATTTGATGTAATGTACAGAATTGTTGAATCATTATATTGTACACCTGAAACTAATATAACACTGGATATTAATTACATTTCAATTTTTTAAAAAAGAATAAAATCAATAAAATCCCAGTTAAAAAAACTAAGAAAAACAAAATAATTTAGTTGGTTAAAAAAACACCATATTTCTACAAGAAAGATAGAAAAAAAT